CAAGTCAGAGCATAAGTAGTTGGTTAGCATGGTATCAGCAGAAGCCTGGGAATCCTCCTAAACTCCTGATCTATCATGCAAAAACTTGGCAAATGGGGTCCCATCAAGGTTCAGTGGCACTGGATCTGGCACACAGTTTTCTCTCAAGATCAGCAACCTGAAGCCTGAAGATGTGGCAAATTATTTCTGTCAACAGTATAACAATTACCCTCCCACAGTGATTCAAGTCATGACAAAAACCACCCAGGGAAGCAGAAGTGAGAGCCTAGGCTGCCACAAATGCTCTTTCTGGTTTCTTCAGCTCCTAAGAGTGTTTCTCTTTTCTCTTGCCAAGATTTAATGGTCAATATTATAATTTTTGTATAGAGACTAGATAAACTTTTCTTTCCTAGAACTCTGTCCTTTTCCCCAATTTAGCATTAAAATCATGAAAATGGTTTTCCTAACTCAAATGAAATATTAACTTTTCTGAGTTGCAGTTTTGGCAACAACAGATTTATACAGCAGAGTTATAAACACAACCCCTGCCCCTCACACACACAGCAGGTGCACCAACGTATAGCAAGAAGGAGTTATTAAAAAAATCATTATCCTATTGAAATTAGAAAATTAGTATCTTAGTATAACATTAAAATCCTGTGGGTACAGACTCCAAACAAAGAAATAAGGTCATTACAACCTACGGCTTCATAGAATCCTCTACTATGTTCAGAGTACTAGTTAAGTGCACTCTTTTGTCTTCCAGAGTACTCCGGTTGTTTTCCAGGACTCACATGACTGATATCAACTGTCTATAACTTCATTTCCAGTATAGCTGAGCTTATTTTCTGGGATCTGAGGTCATTGCACTCATATGGTACATAAATACATATGCAGGCAAAACATGAATACACATAAGATAAATTAAGTAATTATTAAATATTTAAAAATCCTAAGGAACTAGTATTCTGACTAACTGATACTGGGAGCAGATTAATTTTAGAATTTAGAGTCCATGTTTTCCTGATCATAGGGTCCTAAGATATCTTGTCAACTGTCATATGTGCATGGAAAAGAGGAAGCTTTCCATACAGTAAGTGTTTATTCATTTCACTCCTTATTAGGAGGGCAAGTGTCTTAGTTATTTTAAATTTTGTGACAAAACACTACAACCAATGCAATTAATGAAAGAAAGCATTTAATTTGGGGGCTTACCATTCTGAAGGTGGACCCATGACCAACATGGTTGGAAGCAGCCAGCCAGCTGCAGGAATACAGAAATGGCCCTGGAGCAGTAGCTAAAGGCTTATGTCTATTTTAAGTAGGAGGCATCAAGAGGAAGAGAGCTAACTGAGAAAGAAACATCATCAGGCTGAGTGATCAACAGTCACCAAATAAATTCCAATTTATGACTTCACATCAGCCTCTAGCATGGCAAATTTCACACAGAGGGATAGAATTACATAGGGGTGGTAAAACAATTCAGCCAATTACTGACTTTGTGCAGCAAAGAGTGTCATTAAAATAACACTTTACAGAAGCCATTGTGTTTATTATCTTATACATATGTATGATCTACAATGCATGTGATTGCAATTAGATACATCATGGGAAAAGGATATGTGCATTCAACAAATCATATCAATCAAAACAGAAAATAATACACATTGGATCTCCTCAGTAACCAGCACTTCATCCTTGTGGATGATGAACAGAAGTTCCTAGAATTATCTACGGAGGAAATTTCATGCAGGGACTTCTGGTCTACTGCATTGTATCTGTCATGCAGTTCACTTTAATTCTGAATAAAATAATTAATGAATTGCTACAACATGGATCATAGAGAGGCATTCTACTATTAGAAGAAAATAGAACTATATCCTCATTTTTCAACAATCAATCCATTCATTAACTTCCCAAAAGACACATGTATAGTTAATAAAAATGGTCAATTTCAATCTGCTCTGTCATGCTACCAAGTTTCTCTCTTTATTTATCTAAAACGTGTGAAGATACCTCAAAGAATGTACATGCAAGATATAAATATGCCCTCAAGCATCAAGATTCTTCTAATTCCATGACAGTAATCACAGTTGGAATTTTATTGGTAATACATAGGTTTTTTACTAGGGTACCTGAGTTGGTCTACTGACAGCATAGGTGGAGGCCTGTACCTTCAAGGCAGGGAGGTCTGAGTGCAGAATAGCACCAGAGAATCCAATGTTTCAAGTAGAAATGTTCAAGGTACTAAGAGTTTGCTAGTAATTTCATTAAGTATTACTCAGACTCCCATTGCATGTTTTGAAATGATCACTATGTGTGTGTGTATGTGTGTGTATATGTATGTATGTGTATATATATATATATATATATATATATATATTGTTTTGCTTTCATGTATATATCACACATCATGTTCATCTAGATACTTCAGTTATAAAACCTTCTCTCTTAAAGAACCACAAGAAATATTATTATATACGCTCATTGTGGCTGAAGTTTAGCTATGAAAATTTAGGGAAACATCAGTCTCCTGGTGACCTCCCACCAAAACTTCCCAGTGTTTTTAAAATCCTGGCTACATAGGAGAGATGTTCTCAGCAGGTAGGAAGAGCTGGAGCATTCAGCCTTACTCTTCTTGCCTAAGGGGTTTATGCTATAAGTTGAATCACTGTGGTAGAGTATCAAAGCTTTTTTGACAGTAATAACTTGCAACATCTTCATACACCAGGCTGGGTCATCTGGATGTCACATCTAGCTCCTTAGTTTGGAAAATTAAGAGTGAATATGCAAACAATTATCCTTATCCTTCCCTTGGCCCAAGACTCCATGGCACAGTATCAGTCTTAGGATCCAGGGAAAACAGAGGCTGGAGTGTCAGAAAGAATTGTAACATCATGGTCAATGAGTCAAATTCAGGATGTGAATGTTGAGGCTCCAGAGATGTTTTAAGGGAGACTTTACCCATTAAATCATCCAGACTCTGTAGCTCTCACTTCTCTGTGGCCACATCACCTTATTGTTCTCCAAGCTTACATGTACTTCCTTCATGTCTACATTAAATCTATTAGTCAACATGTTTGGGATTTTATCCTGGGGCAACTGTTTAATCAGCCTCCTTCTGATCAGAGCTAGAACACCACTGACATAGTAACCCAGTAAAGTCAAGCTTTATATATGTACACTCTCTTCTCCCTCTCCCTTCCCACTTCATCTGTTTCCCCTTTCAACACTCTCCTTCCTCCTGTTAATTTAGTCTCCCTAACCCACTTTAAAATCTCTTCACTTCTGAGAGAATGCACAGCAAGTGTGTGTGCTCAGAGCGTTCCTGTAGGAGGATAGTTACATAGTTTTACATGAAGACAGTCTTGGTCTTCATCGCTATGAAGGATAAGGACCCAGACAGAGATGATTGTGAATAATTTGGTGAGTTGCATTGTCTACAAAGATTCTTCACAGCCTTTAAAACCTCTTAGTCTTGCCGGGCGGTGGTGGCGCACACCTTTAATCCCAGCACTCGGGAGACAGAGGCAGGCAGATCTCTGTGAGTTCGAGGCCAGCCTGGGCTACCAAGTGAGTTCCAGGAAAGGCGCAAAGCTACACAGAGAAACCCTGTCTCGAGAAAAAAAAAAAAAGACAAAAGAAACCTCTTAGTCTACCTTAACAATGTGTTTTGAGAATTTCATGCATGCATATACTATGTTTTGACCAAAGTAGAGAATGTACATTTATGAAAATTAATAATGAATCCCCCATTATTTTGTAAAATTTTAAAATATCTCTGGATCCTTTCAAAGTCCTATATTTCTTAGCTTCACGGTAGAAACACTTGCAACATAACTCAAGGAGAAACCATCTCTATCCCTGTTTTAAGAAGTTTCTCTCACTTATGAGAGGTTAGTGAGAGATCAATGAAGGAAATAAATTGTCTACAGCATGAAAATGACTCTACTTTGAAAAAAATCGCAGAGCTAAGTGCCAATGTTTTAAAAAATGTTTTGAATTCTTCTCATGAGAATGGCTTTTCTGGACATATCATAGCTCAATGTTGGAAGAAATTCCTAAATGATGTATAAGGTAATCACTTGGACTAAAGTATAAAACCCATTAAACCAAATAAGTCTTATTATATGTCTTATTAAAATGTAGAGCACCAGTAGTTCATGTAAACTATTATAAACTATATTATTATAAACTACTATTTCATTTTATAGCAATCTGTCTCAGAAGCAGATGAGTGGTGTTTTGGCAAATTTGATCAACAAGAATTTCATCTATTAATGGAAACTAGTGTTATATCAGTATTTAGTAATTTTTAATTAGTCTGTTAATTAGTATTACAGAAGTATTTCAGGTAAATTTCCTTTTTGTGTTTTCTATATGACTAAAGTATAGGTTTTTTTTTTCTGTTGATTTTTAATAACATCCTAAACTTACTAATACTTCAAAGTACACATTTACATATTATGAATCTATCCATTGTCTGCAATATCTGAAAATTCAGTAATAACAACCACACTATATTTTCTGTTGTCAACATTAATGGCAGACTTAGATTTCCAGGCAGGTCGGGCACATCATAGTTTGACAGCCCAGGCATTCTTGGTAGAAAGCTCTGTAGAAAACAGCTGAGAGAACTACTTAGTATCTACTTTAGTAACTTCAAGAAAACCCAAGCCAGTTAACAGCTAGTACAAATAGCCTACCTTCCTATATTAAAATAATTGTTTCTTTGAATATTTAGGGTTGCTTCTGTTTTCCTTTATGCATACCAATTGACACCTACATACATCAGGTATATTGACTTCTGTTATTAAGTATTTATGAGAAGCATTGTCATACCTCAAAATTTGTGGTGACATGGTAGAGAGTGAGGTGCACAGCAACTTCCTTGTGCCATTCACAAAAGACTTCAAGTTACCCTCAGAGCCTAGTTGAATCTGAGAAATGCTGTCAGTAGTGTCAGTAGGTAAAAGAACAAACAAGAATATTTTGGGGAGTTTACACTCTCACTTCTGCTTCTATGAGTGGTTTTTGTCATGACTTCCATCACTGTGGTACAAGCTATAACCTTGTTGACAATAATATGTGGCAACATCTTCAGACACCAGCTGACTGATGGTAAAGGAAAAATCTGTCCCAGACCCACTGCCACTGAACCTCGTGGGAACTCCTGATTGCAAAGTGGATGCAGCATAGATCAGGACCTTAGGAACTTCCCCTGGTTTCTGTTGATACCAAGCCATACGGTTGGTAATAGTCTGACTTGCTTTACAAGTGATGGTGACTCTGTCTCCCAGAGATACAGACAGGGTGGATGGCGACTGAGTAACCTGGATGTCACATCTGGCACCTGGTTTTGGAAAATTAAAAGCAAATATCAAAAAAATTAATAATGTTATGTATGACAAGAATATCTTCAAAGACAAGCAATACTAATCACTGAATTTTGAGAAATTTCCCAAGAAACCCTTCTTACTTTGGAGCCAGAGCATCAGAAACCCTAGGAATTGAGCAGAGACCCTCATGTCCATGCTGTGTTGTAATTTGGACAGCATTCTATAGAGTTTGACCAACTCTTTTAAAAGTGCTCAGGTCAGTGGGCTGTCCTCTGGGCGCATGCAAATCATCAGGAGCTGAGCAGAGCTGATCACAGGTATAGAAATTGCTCATTTCTGTAAAAGGCCCCAGTCTCTAAGTGCCCTCACTCCTACCACAACAGCAAAGAGAACATTCTTCCTTCTGTCTGGAAAACCTGGTCTTTCCATTGTCTGTGAGTAGCAGTGATATCATTCCCATTCAATGTGTTTCCTCATTTTCATGCTACAATCCAGGAAACTGAAACCAAGTTTCCAAGCTCCTCCCATTTGAAACAGTTTAGTATTTCTGAGATCACAGGGTATTCCTCTTTGGTTCAGTTCCTTTATATCCTCAATGTGACATTGAAGTTCAAAGCAGCCATGAGTAACATGCTTTATAAAGAAAGGCATAAACTGTAATGCCTAAGCTTTCATCTTTAAATAACTTTTCTTCTATTCATGATTATTTTCCCCTTTCTGTCTACCATTAGGACCTAAAGTTAAGAGTATTCTGCCTTCCCTTCTGAAGCAGGGAGCTGCTTTTCTTCCTTCCTCTAATTTTAGTTACACATATCCACACATATCGTTCTGTGGATGCTCAATGGTATTGGTTTCCGTCCACTCTCCTTTAACTCAAGCCATTGTGTTTTTATCCCCAGGCACTTGAGAAGTTGTGGCAAATAGACCTCATTTACAAAGAGTTCAATATTACCCCCAACAACACAGAAATCCTTCTTTATAAACAAAACACAATAAAAAATTAAACCATGCAAGTATTTAGTCTGATTATAATAAAATGAAAACAAAATTCATCAAGAGTATAGATTTAAATCTATTATCTCTGACTAAGAACAAGCTATAATTTTTCAGTTTCAAATTTACAATTTTTTCCCCCAAAATTCCAAGTGCATGTAGACAATTCTGACTTGAATCAGTAAAAAAAATTACAATAAGAAAAACAAAGACAACTCTGAATTTGCTTGCTAGTTTTCTATGTCAAATAATTGATAATTGATAAGATCTGAAATACAAATTCTAGAGTTCTTTCCATGCTTCCATAACAGTTGACTTGTTTGGGATTGTTGAAACTTGTGTCAAGAGCTTTGTCCTCCACCATGGACACATAATAACAGGCCTATATTTCCACTGCTGCTGTCTATTTAAACCCTTTTGTACTTCTAGAAATTGTCTGTGTGCTCAGATTTTGTTTGTGTTACTGTAACAGTATGACAACATGGTGGATGGATGATTATGATAGTTTTAGAGATGTTATACAGTATAGAAAGAATCCATACAAAAGACAGAAAGTTGGGGAAGACCCAGAAGAAGTTGAAACAAAGAATGTGGGTAAATTTGATACAGTCATATTGTGTGGCATTTTCAAAGAATTAAGAGAATATTTATTTCTTTAATTTATGTAATGATAAAAATAGGAGAGGAAATAGACTCAGAGGCACCATTAAAAAGACCATTGAAGCTACAGGAAGAGTTAGCCAAGAAGAGAACTCAGGAATGAGTAACCCTGTGATATCTGGTACCAAACCTTCATTCTTCTCTAAGTGAGAAAATTATTGTCTGATACTTAAGCTCCAATTCTGTGTAACTTCATTATGAAGTCTTGAAAGATAATACAGGGCCACTGCTGATTCAGCTGAATTTAATCATTAGGAAAAAAAAAGAATTACAAAGCAAGGTCAATTTATAAAGGAACAGATGTTCATTGTTCAAAACAGATAAGAAGGTCAAATTCCACAAAAGAATTCAGACTTGTTGTGGAATGGAAGAGATAAAAATATACATGACATTAACAATAGCCTGTACATAAAGACCATTTCATTACAAAAGAAAATGTAGGACACAATTATGAAAGCAAGCAGTGTTCTTGAAAGAGGATAAACTAATGATGATTTCCTGATTACATGGCTTTATTGGAGTTATGTAGGATATATATAGTAAAGTCATAAATAGTATGAACAGGGGCTGGGGAGATTAGTGGTTAAGAGTATTTCTTACTTTTGCAGAGGTCCAGTGCTCAAATCCCACCACCCTTATGATGTATGGTTCAGGGGGATCTGTTGACCTGCTCTGACCACTGCAACACCAAGCACGTATGTTTTACACATATACATTCAGGTGAAACACTCCCACATAAAACAAAAATGAATAAATATTAAAATTTTAAATTAAATAAATATGATTATTGTATCTTCTACATTAAGAAATAAAGCTAGATGCTGGTCATACATTTTCTTCTAAGTGAAATTCAATCACAATTCACAAAGAAAATCAATTCTAGAAATCATTACAAAAATGTTTTGTTTTATTGCTTTGTTTCATCTTTTTGGATGAAATACTATTGGCCCATCATTAAAACCATTTTGTCTATTTTCAATTGAGCTTTTCTTCAAAGTATCATGTGCTAGGGATTGATCTTCAGTATGTCTTTTATGAAGTGGGGCTGGGATAAGGTAAATAGCCCTGTGGAACCATTTCCTTGCAGGGATTACTGTCATGAGGTTGGGTTTAATCATCAGTCTGTCTGTCCACCTCCAAACTCCACTTTTCTTTCTCCCTCTTCTTATGACTAGTCTGTTTCATAAGCCTACTCATCATCTTTTATAGTTAGGTATATTATGACATATCTAAAGAGACCTCAGCAATAGGTAACCAGATTTGAGGGTTTATTGCTATACTCTGTGACTCCAAAGCATAGCCAAGTAAGACCTTTCCTTATAAAGCACCTTGTATGAGGTACTTTGATATAGCATCAAGAAACAGAAAGTCATCTATATTCTTCAACCAAATAATTTACTGCACACACCAAAAGATGAAAAATATTTCCTAAAATGTGTTCCATGCACACATACACCATTTTCCAAAAATCAAATGCAATAAATTTCTTTATACTCAGTTCCCTCACAGAGCAACAAAATTCTTGGTTGAGGACATACAGATTCAGTTCTCACTCACTTTCATCTGATTCTGTACACTACAGATCATCATGATGAAAGGTAAGGATGACATATGATACCAGACTTATTTTCTTAGTTAGGGCCTATATTGATATAAAGAGACACCAAGTCTATGGCAACTCTTAAATAGGGAAAAAATTAATTGAGGCTGTTTCAGAGGTTTCATGCATTATTTCCGTGGTTTGAAAGCCTAGTGGCAAATAGGCAGACATAGTGCTGGAAAGGTAGCTGGGAGTTATATATCTGGATGCCCAGGCATCAGCAAGAGACAGTAATGCACTTGGCAGGCTTGAGCATCTGAGACCTCAAAGCCAGACCGCAGTGAGACACTTCCTCCAGCATTGCCACACCTACTCCAAAAAGGCCTTTTAGTAGTGCCACTCCCTATGGGGCAAGCTTTCAAACACAGAAGTCTATGGAGGACATTACTATTCAAAGTATCAAATTCTGTTCTCCTGCCCCCCCATAGACTCTTAATCTCTTAACTGTAATTTCCTGAAAAATCAAACTGAAAAGACAGATCATATACTTCCATCATACAAAGACACAAGATACACCTTTACTGTTTCAAAAGGGAAGAAAGGGAGCATAGTGAGGAAATACTGGACCAAACCAAGACCAAAAACCAGTTGAGCAAACTCCAAACTCTACGTTTCCATGTCTGATATTAGAGTGCTCTTAAGATCTCCAACTCCTTTCAGATTTGTTCCACTCCCAGTTAGCAGCTCTACTGAGCAGGTACCCCATAACTTTGTAATCTCCAACATCTTTGAGTCTCTAAGGCAAGACAGGCTTCATCTTCACAGCTTCATGCAAAGTTTTCTCTAGGCATTTCTGACACATCTGGCCTCAGCAGCTTTCCTAAGTTGTGAGGGAGATTCTATAACCCCTTTCTTCTCCCTTGACTTTAAAGCCAGAACCATATAGTGCCTCGCCTGCATGGCTTCAACGGGTTCTTGACCACCCTAAGGAGGGAATGTAGGGACAGGAGATACAAAGGAAAAGACACCAAGTCTAGATTCTGATCAAGGTGCCACTTTATTTCTCATCCAGAAAGGTTTATATAGTTCCGCAGGGTGGGGGGAGCAAGATGCTGTCATCTGCATAAGTGGGGCAAACTAACAGGATGTTTGTGTAGGATGTTTACAGGGTGAGAGGGTCAAGGGCTCTGACTCAATGTCCTGTTGCTAGGCAACCTGACTGTAAGCTGATCTAGTTCTCTGTCTTATTGGGGGGTCTGTATTTTTCCACTAACTAGAGATTCTGTCCTTGTCCCTGACAATATAGGCAAAACTTTAAAGATCTGTTGCTTGCTGCAGCTAGAACTTGGCCCTTTTGTTCAAATATATCTTCACCAGTTTTCTGTTTTCTGCAGCTTCCTCCATGATCTAAACTTAGCTGTCCTCTGGTTTGCTCTATAGAACAGATAGGCCTCAAAGTCAGAGGTTCGCCTATCTCTGCCTCCATCCAACTGCAATTAAAGGCTTAAACCACCAGACAAGCTCTAAACTTTTCATTAAGTCCTTTTCACAAGTTGGAAACTTTGCTGCGGGTTTTTCTTTAACCTATTTATCTACTTAAACATAGGGCTTATCCCTATTCCATTTCCTCATGTACCTCTTCTCCTCAAACTGTACATTTTGTATTTTTATTTTCTTGGCTTATTCCTTTTCATTCTAGGTCTGCTCAGGAGTGAATACTCATAACCACATGAGAGTCAATACCAAAGTGTCTTCAGCTTTCCTCTGCTAATACAATTAATGCAAAACTCTTCAATTTAGCCTCAGGTAGACTTTTTGAAAAGGGCAAAAAGCAGCCACCTTTTTTGAAAATATATCAGAAGAATAATCCCTAGGACACATACTAAAATTTTTCTTCTTTGAAACTTCCTGAGTGAGACCCCTATAGTTCATATCACTATTGGCACCACTGTATTCCATGTTCTTACTAGGATGGCCCATTAAACCTCACTTAAAATGTTCAACTGTT